TCCAACTGGTCCAGCGCTGTCGCCAAGGTCTGGAGCTCGCGCACCGTGTTGATCCGCAGCTGGGACACGGCGTGGTGGCCGAACACGATGGCCTGCAAGTAGCCGACCACCTTCGGCCTCGTCTCGGAACCGTCCGCCCCCTCCCGCAGGCCCATGGCGCGGGCGATGTTCTGCATCGCCTCGTCGTAGAGCGCGCCGGGCTGTCTCTCCGCCAGCAGCCGTGCGCTGCCGCCGCGGGAGGGGGCATCTCGAAAACGCGGCTCGCCTTCGCCGTCGCTGCGGCTGCCAGACTCGCTGCGAGCCCGTCGCCTGCCGCGGCCAGCCACGCCGCGGCCGCCACCGCCTCCGACCGCAAGCGCGCGGGCAGCTGCTGCGGCTGCTAGGCGGTCGGCGGCGGGTCCGCCAGGGATGGGAGCGGGGCCGCCTCGACCAGCTCCACCACCACGGCCGCCGAAGGCGCTCGGCCGCACCCAAGGCTCCACCAGGCCGTGCGTCGAGCGCAGCCGAAGCCACTCCACGTGCAGGACGGCGCGCCCTGCCTGCGCAGGCTCGTCACACCGCGCAGGCCCCTGCGCGCAGAGGTGCAGCAGCCCAGCAGGACCGCCGCCGCGCGGAGGGAAGGCGCCGTCAAAGCGCATCGCCTCAGCAGGCAGGGACGCGCCTCTGAACTGCGCGCTCAGATACTGGCCTCCAGCACCGGGCACGCCTACCTCGTCGATCTCGAACAGTGCGGTCCCGCTGATCGCCCCTGCCACGTCGTGGGTCGGCAGCTCGACGGCCAGGCCCTGGCGCCAGTTGGCCCCGACGAGGGCGGCTGCCTGCGCCCAGGCCCCGTCGACGAGCCCGCCAAGCTGCGCTCCTGCAGCTGGGGCGACCGCACCTCCCAACACGCCGAGGGCAGCGCCCGGTCCTGCGGGCCCCGCGCCTGGCCGCGCGCCCGCGCCTCCAGCTCCGCCAGCGCCAGCAGCGGCCAGCGCGCCAACCAGCGCCGCTCCGACGCCGCCACCGCCGCCGCCGCCAGCGCCGTCGCCAGGCGCCCCGAGGGCAGGGGGGGGCGCGCCCGCGGCGCCCGCGCCAAGGGCTCCAGGCAAGCCAGGGGAGCCGCCGAGCCCTGGCACCACCGGCGTACCAGCCGCGCCGCCTCCAGCGCCTCCGCCAGCTGCACCTCCACCCGCGGGCGCGAGGCCGCCTCCGGGGCCGACGGGCGCACCTGCCGCTCCAGCAGCCGCACCTGCGCGCCCGCGACCGCGCCGTCCTCCGCCATGTCCAGCGCCTCGGCCGCAGGCGGCAGCGGGAAGCACAGGAAGAGCCTTCGCCTTCGCCTTGGCCTTGGCCTTAGCCTTGGCCTTGGCCTTAGGCGGCATCGGGCGACAAGGTCGACAGAGCCGAAATCTGCGCCGCCAACAGCCGCGCCTGCTCAACCAGCAGCGCCCGCTCCTGCGGTGCCAGCCGCGCCTCGCGCGCCCCCTGCCGCGCCAGCGCGAGGAGGTAGCGCAACTCGCGCACCTCCAGGAGCGCGCCGCCTTCCGCGAGGGCCAGACTTTCGCCCTCGGCGAGGCGCCCGGTGCACCAGCCGCAGATCCGAGGCTGCTGGGCCCGCGGGGCGGCGAAGCGCGCGGTGGCGCAAGCAGGGGGCATCCCAGGCCCTCAAGGCCCTGATCCACAAAGGCTGCCATGCATTCTGATGCGGCCAACGTTCGCTCATTACCCCTCCGCCCACACATTGACCGTAAACGTGTTCATACACATATCCGCATTCCTGTGTTCGGTGAATGCAAGACGTCGCACTTGACGCACGAACTTCATGCTCGCTCCAACGCATGCGGTCATACTTTTTTGCACAGCGCTTGCGATTTAACTTGGAAGTGTGGGCTACGATGCTTTGAAGCGCTCGCGCTTGCTTGAATAATTAATTGAAGGGTTTGCGCTTGATTGTGTCCAACGCGTGCGTTTGCTGTTTGCCTCTTCCTGGGTTCCACCATCGTTATTGCTCGAAGCACTTGCGCGCGAAAGTGGTAGTGTGGGATGCGATGCATTGAGGCGCTTGCGCTTGCTGGTTAGATGGATCACAACGCGAACCGCTTGGCTGGTTGCAGCGCATGCGGCTACTGTTTGCCCTGAATCTGGGACTCCTCCAAAGGCCCCCCTGTGAGATGTTTACAGACAAGCAACCATTCCAACGCTGCCGCATGCCCCATGCATCCATCGCGACACCGCCCCAGCAGTGGCACAGTCCACGTGACGGAGATGCCTCACTGGAACCCAGCGCGCGAAAAAGGGGACCGCGGAAGCCGAATGCGAGGCCGCCCGCCCACCTCCTGAAGAAACCGCACCTCGAGCTTTGGGCCCTGGCAAGGGGCTTGGCAGTGAGGGCGCAGGCTGCCGTGGAGGCTGGCATCGGGGGCGCCTCTGCCGCGGCGGCCTGGGGCGCTGCCGCGACCGCGGGGTCGGAAAGCAGCTCGGCCCCTCCCCTGTCAAGTTCGGCCGTCCGGGCGGGGATTCCCGAGGGCGATGGGTTGGCTGGGCGCAGGAGCGCGAATGCGCGCTGGATCTCGCCCGCGTCTGACAAGGTGACCGAGCGCGCCCGCGCGGCGTGCAGGGGGCCATGGACAACTCCAGCGCGGCCTACCGCACGCACAACGACGCGCACAGTTCCAACCAGGACGGCGGGGGTGCATCCGAAAAAACACACTGCGTGCCCGCGCCGACGATTTGTGAGCTGCGCCCCTTGCCCCCCACCAGGACACGTGAAGCAACGGGTTGCTGAGGGAGGCTTCACAGGCGAGAGGCGCGCGTTCTGTCGGGGCCCGCGCCTTGGCATCGCATCTTTGGGCCAAGATGGGGATTGCAGAAAAGGGGGCGAGGGGCCGGTCGGAAATGTAGTGTTGTTTGCGAGTATGTATGTATATGTATATACAGAAAAGGGTATATATATAGTACACAGATATATCGCATTCTCAAAATGCATAAGTCCATGTATGTATGTACGTACGTACGTGCGTATGTATAAATATAGCGCTTACGCTGCCCACCCCGACACAATTGTCCGGCGCGTTGCGCCCGCCGCGGCCCCTCGCTGATTTGCCAGCGCCGCGCGCTTGTGCCACTCGGCGCGCAGCGCCTGCCCGGGGCCCCATCAGCGCTCTGCGCTGCGCCCACGGCGTGGGCTCCGAGCTTCTTGTCGAGGGGCCCCCCAAGGCCGCGGTCGGTGATGCGCGAACTGAAAGCAGCTGTGGCTCGAGGGCATCCTTCGCGCTCCTTCGCACTTGGTCGTCCAAGCCCTCTGCGCATCAAGGTGGTCTGCGCTCCTTCAAGCCCAGCCGATGTTCGTCGAGGTGAGTGAACGACACACTGACGCGAGTTCCACATTTTGGAAACGATCTGCTCTCCGGGCCCTCCGACCGCTGAACTGCTGTAGGCGTGCAAACACGACTGTGCGCAGAGCTGGAGCATCAGAACCAGATGTTGCAAGCCACCAGCGCTCCACCCGTGCAGCGGATGGACGCCACCTTGGGGAAGCGGCTGCGCGCGGCGGCGACGCGAGATCTGCGCTTCGGAGACCACAGACCCTCCACCCGTGCAGCTGCTGGCAGACCCCAACTTCAGAAGCACGAGTGGTGCGGAGCTCTCGAGCGAATCGCCCAACCTGCCCTGCCGGCACGCCTGGTGGCGCGACAGTGAAGACTCCTTGGAAACGGAGAGCGGTTGGAGGAATCCACTTCGTGGGGTGGCGATTCGGGGAGTGGCTCGGCTGCTGTGGCGTTCGGGGATTGCTCAGAAATCTGGAATAATTGGCGGACGCCTTCCAGCAAGATTTCTGAGGCTTCCTGGATACCGCGACCATGCTCGTACGTAGCCGCTGGCGGAAAACACGCCATCAAGCGTGCGCGGAAGTCTTCGCGGCTTGCACCCTCGAAATGGGGTCCTGACTTTCTACGCGTAGAAATCAGGAGTAATCGAATCAGATGGTGTGAGCGAGGAACCGGTGCATGTCGAGATCCCCTCCTCCAGTTTGCTGCTGCACTCGTCAACCTTCATATGCCCCTTCTCGACTCTCGCCAACCTCTCCGTGACCCTGGTCACTTCTGCAGTTCTAAGCATGACGCCCCCCCACTGCTGCGTCCGTGGGATTAGCGGAGCCATACGCATCTCAAGAGTCCACACTGGCAGGCCATCGTCGACAGACGTCACCACAATGAGCTCGTGAAAATACCGATTAACAGGTTTCACAAATACAACAATAATACACCTCCCTCCTCCTCCCCACCTTCCCTCTCCCCTTTCCGCTTCTCTTTCCCTCCATTCTCGTCGTCGTCGTCGTCGTCGTTGCCTTCGCCGTCCTCCTCCTGCCCCGTGGAGTCGCCACCATTTGAGGACGACCCCCTGGGCCCCCGAAGCCCGCCAGAACATCCCGAGACGCTGAGAATCATTCTAAATCTCCTCAACCCTGGATCCTCGGACTTCCATCCCCAAGGGGAGCTGGTGACCTGGCATTGCCTGCTCTCCTTTCTTCCACGAGAAGCGCCGGAGAAGGGGGGCGACAAGAGGACAAGAAGGGGGGCATAGCCCATCGTGACCCCGGCCATGTGCGCGGACGAGGGGGGGAACACGGGACGCACTGCAAGAGGAAGCGGGGGCAACGACGCCTCACAGATCGATGTCCCCGGCCATGGTAACTATCCAGCCCCGCTCCCCCCAGCGGTAGGAGGAGGAGGAGGAGGAGGAGGACGACGACGACGAAGACGACGACGACGAGGAGGAGCAGGAGGAAGGAGGAGGAGGAGGAGAAGGAGGAGCAGCAGGAGGAGGAGGAGGAGGAGGAGAGGAGGAGCAGAGGAGGAGGAGGAGAGGAGGAGAGGAGGAGGAGGAGGAGGAGGAGCAGGAGGAGGAGAAGAGGGGCCCCTTGGATGCGCCGTGGCGGCCGAACTGGGCGAGGGCGGAGGGGGCAGCGGCAGCCGGCCACAAGGGGGGGGGGGGGGGAAGGGGCCGACCGGACGCGCCTGCGGCCCAGCCGCTCCCTGGCGGCGCACCACGGGGGGGCGACCGACGCTGCAGAGGAGGGAACGGGGGAAGCTTGAAAGGGGAGGGGGTGGGGGCTGGGGAGGAAGGAGGGGAGGAGCTGGCCTGCCTCCGAGGAGGCAGGCCTGGAGAAATGGGGCGGAGGAGAACGCGGGGAGGAGGATCAGGGGAATTGGGGGGAGGGACGTGGGGGGCAGAGGGAGAGGGGAGGATGAGGAATGATGGGATGGGAGAAGAGGATGAGGTGGGACGAGACATACAGATGGACAATGGATTCGGGTCTTGGGAGGGAGCTGACGGTGGACGACTACTCGCTTGTCGGCGCGAGTCGTTTCAAGGTGTGGAACCTTTAGTGGGTCTGGTGGGCCTCTTGGAGCGCGATATGTTGGCTGTCTTGGTACCACACCGTGATGTCCTCACTGGGCACAGGGTCATTGGTGCCGTCATAGATGATGTCACACTGGATGCCACATTGGTCTGCGGCGGCCGATGCGGTTTGGACGTCGGCTGGTTCGATTCCAGAAGTGGCGGTGAGCCTACGTCTGCCCGCTGCCATGCCGTGGCGCCCCAGTCGATTCATGGGCTCCTGTATTTAAGCGGTGCAGGAGAGCGAGGCAAAAGAGGCAGAGAAAGCGTCGGCGAGGTCGTCATCGATCTGTTTGCGTGCATGGTCAAGTGTCGCCGAATTCTGGCGTTCCTTGGCCCTTTCATGTGACCTGTCTGAATCTCCTGGCTGTCGCGTGCCGTTGGGGGGGCTGCTCCCGAAGAAGTGGCCAGGAAATCGTTACTGCAGTGTTGGCGCGACGGCGATAGCATCGGTTTCGCAGTCTGCTTTACGAATCAGGTCACGCTGTCTGCTGGGTCAGGAGGTACTTGGACGACGTTCTGCAAGCACTTGACCTCTGTGCGGCCCAATTGGTCGATGGCTCCCGGTATGCGGCCTGGCGTGGGCGCGGTGGCCTTAGCCGTCCTACGGAGGACACGGACTACAGGAAATCCTTCCCTGGATAATCGGTGCCGGTTGGCCCCAGGACGGCTAGCGAAAGGGGCTCCTCCTGTCGGCGGATGTGCTGCAGGAGCCGGTTGCCCTCTTCTAGCGTGCAAAAAGGGAGATGCTGCTGGTGTGCGATGCCCCGTGCTCCGCCCAGTCCGGAATCAACGCGATGGGGACATCCCAGCGCTGTGCACCCAGGCTGGCGAGTGGGGCGGTGCCGTTCCTGTGGTGGGTGTCCGTCGAGGCCGCGGCCGGGGCTGGTTCTGCGCGCCAGGGAGTGGCGCAGCATGATTTAGCTGATCCAGTTGTTCCCGCGGAGCGAGGTAGAGAGAGAGAGAGAGAGCGAGAGGGAGAAAGAATTAACTGAAAAGAATTATATACATATAAATATATATATATATAGAGAGAGAGGGAGCGGGAGGGGGTAGTGAGAGAGAGAGGGCGAGATGTACAGAGCGAGAGGGCGATACATCTATGAATGTAAGCATACAAAGAAAGGGATGAGACACGCAACTGGAGAGAGAGAGAGAGATACAGAAAGAAAGATGGAGAGAGAGAGAGAGAGAAACAAACAAAGGAAGGAGAGAGAAAGAGGGATATGGCCTGAACACAAAAACACATATTCAGACTGGGCTCTACATCCATCCCCGCTCAAATCACAAGCGAGACGACATCAAAACCAGTCCAGGCCGCCGAACCGCTTCACTCACAGCGAAGCGACATCACATGCAAAAATGAATCAGAAGGAATGTGATGGCGTCTCAGTCGGACCATTGAGAGATACAATATGTACGCGTTGGGCTTCCGATCTGGAACCTCCTGTCGCCAACATTGTCGTCTGATGATAAGAACGGGCTCTGACTGCCGGCAGGCTGTTTACTGGGATGGGAACTCTTGCTACGATCGGCGGGTAAGGCAAGTCCGATTCCGTCAACTGCAATCTCCCCCATCGAACGGCTCGACGACCGATCCCGCTACGGCCCAACAGTTTGCACGGCACATGACTGGGAACATGCTAGCGGCCAGGATTCTGATGACACCCGTGCGCTGTGCCATTTTCGCCGCAAGCCCCACACACGCACCCTGCGATGCAAAATACGTCGAAGCTGGAAAAAGACAACGCGCTGGATACACAGTCGCATTGTTGGTTTACCAATACACTCAAGTGCCGACAGCTGGATAAGGCATGCGGCACATGTGGTCCCAGTTATCAGTCAGGCCAGCCGCGTCGTGCGTATCCTGGTTTCTGGTAGTTCGTGCCCCCTTTCACTGCCTGGCCGACCAAGTAATATACAACTCCAGTGGCAGAACGCGACACGCCGTGCCAACTACTATTCGCAGGAAACAACAGCCCAACCGATGCGCTCCTGGCCTGGAGGTTCAAGGACACCAGGTACCTCAGGAAGGGAGGAAGGAGAGGAGGGTAGCAGTAAGGGAGGAAGAAGGGCTGGGAGGGGAGGAAGGAGGGGCGCTGACAGGCAGTCGGGGAAAGAAGGGGGGAGGGGAAGCAGGATAATATATAAAAAGAGGACTCTGGGGGAGGCAAGGGTAGGCGAGGGTCGCATGGAATGCTGCTTGCGACACTGTGACCATTATGGGGGCCAGAGCCGAAACATGTTGAATTATCAACGCCCGAGCATGGGAGCTCGAATGGCGACGAAGGGATCATCGAGGGACGACTTCGCGGGCGCAAAGGTGAACCGATCAAGTGGAGCCAGGGGGGGAGAAGACGACTGGAGTGCGACGGGGGCACGATGGAACTGCGAGGCAAGCGGAGAAAGACTACGGAGAGGGGCGCGACGCGGTCGCGAGAGAAGTGGGAGGGGAGTGCGCACGGGCAGCGCGCGCGCACCGCGAGGGAGCGCACAGGGGAGCTCGAGGGGAGCACGAAGGGGGGGGCGCGAAAGAAGGGAGCCGGAGGGGGCTGCGAAAAGGGCGCGCGGCGGGAGCAGCGACGGGCGTCCGAAGGGATGGCGAAAAGAGCGCAGCACTCGGCCTCCTCCTCCTCCTCCTCCTCCTCCTCCTCCCTCCTCCTCCTCCTCCTCCTCCTTTTCCTCCTTTTCCTCCTTCCTCCTCCTCCTCCTCCTCCTCCTCCTCCTCCTTCTTCTCCTCCTCCTCCCTCGACTCCTGGGCCTCCGCTCCTCGCAAGGCCCGTCCTTGACCCAGGGTCGGTGCATATACCTTCCTGGCCAAGGTAGAGGGCGTATGCACCGATCCTGGGCTCAGGATGGGCCTGGCCAGAATCGGTGCATGTGCACAGTTCTCTTTCCTCTAAAAGCATGAAGACGAATAGAGAGGCCGGCACCAACGAGCAAGACGTGGGCACGAGTGGAGAGCGAATGTGGTCGGCGGGCAGGGGGGCAAACGAAAACAAAAGTGACCCTCGGATGAAAACGACTCGACTCAGCCGTCGCAGGGAACCCCCAATCACGCAACGTCAGCGTCCGACCTCTTGGCATCCGCCAGGCGCGTCACGTCCAAGGGAACCTCTGGGCTCTGAACGCGAGCCGCCCCTGCCGAAGTGCCAGACCGATCGCGCGTCACATGGCGCAGCCGCGCAGGCGAGCAGCCATCGACCCCGTTCGGCCCGCGGACGACGGCGCCCGGCCCGGGAACTCTGCCACGCGCCGCCACCGCATCTGAAGCTCAGGCCACGGCAAGATGGAACGCAGGCCAGGCCAACCTGAATTCCAGACCGGGCTGATCTGAATCATCTGCGAGCCCCCCAGGGGGGACAATCTGTCTTTCAAAGAAGGCAATCTGAATTTCAGACGGCTGTAATCTGAACTTCAGATGTGGAGGATCGGTCACGAACAAAAACATTGCACGATTATCCCCCGCCACGCGGTAAAAATGAACCCCGGGAAATGCATAACCCGCAAGGCCCGTGACTGAGCATCGGGCAAATAATTTACATGAGCTCGACAATCGCAGGCACGCGTCGCTGCAGAACGCGCCAGCGCGTTTGCGCAACCTACAAAAAACAAGACACCACAATAACATTGAATATTATGTTTGTTGGAGTGCCTGGTGATCATGCAGTCGTGATAGGACGGAACACCGGCTTGCAGACCCCAAAAAGTAACCAATAATGCATCACGACGGGGAGCGATATACAACGTGACCACGAATGGATCACGATATGAATGCGAAGAGTCAACGGAAAAGGTTCCAAACGGAGTGCAAATGGAGCGCGGGATGAACAAGAATGTGTATGAATGGAGCCTGGAAGGAAGGTGTGAGGGTGCACGTGAGGGAGTACGAGAGAGCGCGGAAGGAACTACGAAGGGAGTAGAGAAAGGGGGCCCCTAGGGGAGCACAACTGGAATCTAGAACGACACACAGAGAATGTGACATGAATCATGACGAGGAGAACCACTGGGGTGAGACTGTAAGATGCTTGATAATAATGGCACATGGTTCCTGATCGTAACGGTGACCATGTCCGCTGAATATTTCTAATGGCTGATCCATGTGCAAGGCAACATCGATGCAGCTATGCAGCTGGTCAGTCCGCTAAACCACGTCGGTGCGCGCGCCAGGTAATGAACGTGACACGCGTTTCAAGCACGGTCAAGGCGTGCTTTACATTTGGCGCGACTGGGTCCCACCGCGTGTTTACATTGTTTTGGGCGGCGCCGAAGTGGCGAGGTCATAGATCAGTGTGTCTAAAAATAGGCATGCCTATACGAGTTCGGTTGAACAGAGTTGGGTCGAACGGGGTATGATGCCCCCCTCGCCTATGTTGCTGCCTTGCAGGGGATTGGGCATTCGCATGGCTTCTGATGCATATTCCCATGGATCCCAGTGGCACGCCAGAATAATCACTCGTACAGTGCACTGGAATCCCCTGGAGGTTTCCATGGGCTCCAATGCGCATCCCAATGGATGCCAAAGGGAGCCTATGGAATCCTGTGGGTCTAATTTGTCCGACGGATACTTGCGTATATGTATAAATATGATATAGGGCCCCATGATGTTCTATTGTATTTCGATGAAGTCCTGAGAAGTCGATTTAAGCCCCACGGAACCAACTGGAGTCACTTGAATCCAATCGAGTCCGACGGAGTCCACTGGAGTACATGGGCGCCCCGAAGGAGCGCAACGGATCACAATCAAATTGGAGCGCAATGAAGCCCACTGGAGTCCAATGAAGTCGTATGGGCTCTCTATAGAAGTCTCATACAGCGCAGTGAAGTCCAACGGATCGCAATGGAGTCCAATGGAGATTAGAGTCCGATGGAGCTCAATGGAGACCAACATCTGCGAACAAAAAGCAGACTTGAAGCCACCGCAGGACCACTACATTGAAAAGAACTCATGGACATGACTGGTGCGCCCCACGAACGCTTCGCACAGGAACGCATCACCACGCTCAATGTCCCCCGCCCTCGGGAGAACGATGGCAATCCAGAATGAAAGCGGGACGATGACGATGAATGCACCGCGGGGCAGGAGGATGGGCGCATGGGGAAGGGGGGAAGACGTCGACGCAGAGGAATGGATAGCACGAGGCACATCGCCGAACAGCGCCGCGCGCTACGCCCACGATGCGAAGCAGCGCCAAGCGCTGCACAAAGAGCGCGATGTCTCAAACAGAACTGCGCGAAGCGCGGAGCGCTGCATGGCGGCGGGCAGGTGCCGACGTGCAGCGCCGCGCGCGGGATGGCGCCCTCGCGCCGCGTGCTCTGCGACGTGACGGCGCCCCGCGCTGTGCGACAGGACAGCGCCGCGCCCGAAAGGGGCAGCGGAGGCGGCTGCGGTCGGGACCGGCCGAGGCTCAAACAAGTGTTTTGAAGGGCCCGCAGGACCGCGCCCGCGGCGCGAGGCGTCGCGCGCGGGCCTCTGCTGCGGCCCTGCACGGCCAAAACCACGAGAAGCGTCAAACGATCCGTGGTCTCCCGCCACCGGGCTGTTGCCGGCAGCCTTGACGCGCGGCGAACTCTCAACTTCAAACTAATCGTGCCGGCTTCGCGAGCCCACCAGAGAGCCACGAGCTCGGGCCTGATCCGCGTGCGACGTCCTGCGATGACCTTCCCGGGAGCTCACGAAAAAAGGCGACACAAGCGCAGATCGCAGCCCACCAGGTAGCCGCGTGGTCTCATCTGATCCGCGTATGACGTCCCTGCGCTGAACCTCCCAGGAGCGCACGAAAGTGGCAAACATTGCGCAGATCGCAACCCCCAAGGAAGCAACGAGGTCTCACCAGGATCCGCGTATGACGTCCCTATGCTGGCCCTCCCAGGAGCTCAGGAAAAAGGCGACAAGTGCGCACTGCGCAGCCCCCCAGGCAACCCCGAGGTCTCGCCTGATCCGCGCATGACGTCCCTGCGCTGGCCCTCCCAAGAACTCACGAAAAAAAACGGAAATTGCGCAGATCGCAGCCCCCAAGGGAGCCGCGAGGTCTCGTCTGATCCGCGTATGACGTCCCTGCGCTGGCCTTCCCAGGAGCTCACGACAAAAAGCGACAATAGTGAACTGCGCAGCCCCCCAGGCAACCGCGAGGTCTCGCCTGATCCGCGCATGGCGTTTCTGCGCTGGCCCTCCCAAGAGCTCATTAAAAAAGGCGACGGTTTCGCAGATCGCAACCCACCAGGAGGCAGGCAGGAAACAAGCAGGAGGCAGGAGGAGAGAGGAGGGAGGCGACAGGAGGTCGGAGGAGGGGAGGAGGAGAGGAGGGAAGTCGAGACCACAGTGCCACGCCCTGGCTGGATCCAATGCCAAAAATGACTGCAATGTGAACTTGTAAGTCTGGCGTGGGCCTCACGCTGGGAACGTGCACGTCGGTTCGTGTCCGCTGCTGGCGACACGCTGCCTCATGGGCGCTTCCGCGGGCATCGGAAGAGAGCGGCCTTGGAAGTGCATCCTAGCTCCATTCCTTTCGTTATTCGCAAATGCACTGACACACATTATACGGCTGAAGTTCTGAAACTAAACTCCAGGGTAGTTGATAGACGCGCACCTCCGAGACGAGCAACATGCAGCTCGATAGTAACTTGTAAGGACGCTTGGCCACTGCTGTGCATTCGCAGCCCGAAATAACAACATTCGGCGGCGAGCCAAGGGGGGGATGTCAGAGGGGGCGGGCCTTCTCAGAAGGCTCGGAAGGCCTCGGGGCTTCTGAGACGTGTTCTAAGCCTTCCCCAAACACACCGAAAACTGATCAGAAGGCGCGAGGGCTTCTGAGAAGCTCCGCCGCCTTCTGAGAAGGCCTGCTCCCTCTCACTTCCCCCTGGCGCGCCGCCGAAACATGCGGGGGGTACTGACAATGCTGTGGCAATATACAATGACTTTGCGCGAGCTTGCAAGAACGAGGTGTCTGTTGTAAAATCGCTCCATTCCCCAAACATGCTTCCACCATGCGACGGCAAAGTCGTGCCGTGACGACCTGCGCGCTGGTTTCTGACACTGCGTGGGTCGTTCAACACTGAACGATCCCGACTTTCCGACAGCGCAGATCGTTGATGCGGGTCGATGCCGGCGCACTTGTGGCGTTCAACCTTGAACATCCTCGCTGTGGTCGCCACCGCGACGACAAGACGCGGTGGGGAACACGGCGCGGGAGGGAGGGGATGATGAGCAGGGGGGGAGGGAGGGGATGAGGAGGGAGGGTGGGAGGGAGGGGAGGAGGGAGGGAGGGAGGGGATGATGAGGAGGGAGGGGATGATGAGGAGGGAGGGGATGATGAGGAGGGAGGGAGGGAGGGAGGGGATGATGAGGAGGGAGGGAGGGGATGATGAGGAGGGAGGGAGGGAGGGGACGAGGAGGGGGAGGAGGGAGGGACAAGAACTCCTGCGCGCTGGAGCGTTCGGCAGGCGAGCGACCGCCGGGCGAGAAACACCACGACGTCCCAAGTCCTCCTCCACCCCTCCCATTCCTCGACTCCTCTCCCTCCTCCAGTCCTCCAGTCCTCCAGTCCTCCAGTCCTCCAGTCCTCCTCCTCCTTGTCCTCACCATTAACTCCTCCTCCCCCTCCCTCCTCGGACCGACTGATTACTCCAAACACTGTAGGAACCTATCAGAAACACCTCAATATCCGCCTCCGCCCCCTCTTCCTTCAGCATGTCATCGGGGTCCCCCGCAGCGTCAACTCCTCCCGCTTGTCCTCATAAGACGACATGAGCATAAACTTTCGGAGGGCCGCGTGTAGTTGACTGATTGGAGCTGAACCCTCTCCCTGGCGAGCGCCAGGGGTGGTGCCAGAGGTGCCGCAAGCGGGGTCCAGCGCCGATCTAACAGACCCGCGCAAGACTCCGAAACTGTATGCTTATGCAGTCTTCCCCGCTTCGATCATCCCCGCCCTCCTCGACGGGCGAACGGGCTTCTGGGCCCCGCGCATGAAGAGCAGCCCGAAAAAGCCGCAGCTGGTCTCGCCCGCGCAGCTCTCCGAATCCTGCTGGGGGTAGCTAGCACATCCGACGACTGGTGGAAGCTCCGTCGGAGGCCTACTCGGTCCTCCTGGGCTTTGTACCCAGCGGAGGACATACCTTCGGGCCTCCCGAGTGGGGCCCGAACCGATGGGGTCGGAGGATTGAGTCAAATTGCCGATGCATCGCTGACGCACTGGTCTTCTTGTTTGGTCCAGCTTGGGCCCCAGATACTTTGGAGGTCGAGAGGGCCCGATGCATGAAGAAGATGGAGTGTGGCTAGGCCTTCTTTCCTAGACTCTGTGTGGGCCGCTCTGAAAACCATGAATCCAGCAATGTTGTCATCTCTTCTGGGTGCACGTTGTATTTCCGCCGCCCCCATGCGGGCATTCCCCCGGTTTCCGCCGGCGGGGGCGCCCTTGTGTGGATTCCGCCAGCTTCCAACGCCCTTCCGCCGCATACCGCCGAGGAAGAGCTGACAACTCATGCGGCCCTCGAACACGAGGCCCATGTCTGGAGCGGGCCACGTTGCCTATTGCGGGAGGCGCGACCTCTGGCCTCGACAGGAAGAGAAAGGGACGCTGTGCGCCTTGAGGCTGTTGGACACTCGCCACGGCGCCACTCCCATCCCGTAGCGCGTCAAAGTTGTCAACGTTGGGCCTCCCTCCTTCCCCTCCTGCTGCCAGCGGGATCCCAGAGCTCCAGGTGGGACGGCCCCCCAATGCGCCAACGTTGGGCCTCCCTCCCTCTGCCAGCGGGGACCCAGGTCTCCAGGTGAGGCGACCCCCCAAGGGGCCAACGGTGTCAACGTTGTCAACGTTGTCAACGTTGGACCTGCCCCCTGCCAGCGAGGACCCAGGGATCCAGGTTGGGCGACCACCCAAGGGGCCAACGTTGTCAACGTTGCTAATGTTGTCAACGTTGGGGCTCCCCACCCTGCCAGCGAAGACCCAGGGCTTCAGGTTGGCTGGCCCCTCAAGGCGCCAATGATCTCAACGTTGGGCCTCCCAGAGCTCCCGTTGTCAACGTTGTCAACGTTGGGCCTCCCTCCCCTGCCAGCGGGGACCCAGGTCTCCAGGTGAGGCGACCCCCCAAGGCGCCAACGTTGTCAACGTTGGGCCTGCCCCCTGCCAGCGAGGACCCAGGGCTCCAGGTTGGGCGGCCCCCCCAAGGCGCCAACGTTGTCAACGTTGTCAATGCTGTTAACGTTGGGCCTGCCCCCCCCTGCCAGCGAGGTCCGAGGGCTTCAGGTTGGGCGGCCCCCCAAGGCGCCAACGTTGTCAACGTTGTCAACATTGTCAACGTTGGGCCTCCCCCTCCCTGCCAGCGGAGGGCCCGGACCTCCCGGACGGGGAACTCCGGAAGCTCCGGGAGCTTCCGGAGCTCCAGGTCCGGAGCTCCTGGAATTCCCGTTCAGGGACTGAGGCTTGCTTGCGTCAATGTGTTGTTCAGCCTCACGCGTGGGGACTGAGGCTTGCTTGCGTCAGACAGGCGGCCCCCGAAGGGGCTAACGTTGTCAACGTGGTCAACGCTGTCAACGTTGGGCCTGCCCCCCCTGCCAGCGAGGACCCAGAGCTCCAGGTGAGGCGGCCCCCCAAGGCGCCAAAGTTGTCAACATCGTGGACGTTGTCAACGTTAGGCCCCCCCCCTGCCAGCGAGGACCCAGGGCTCCAGGTGAGGCGGCCCCCCAAGGCGCCAACGTTGTCAACGTTGTCAACGTTGGGCCTCCCTCCCTTTGCCAGCGTGTACCTAGGGCCCCAGGTGAGGCGGCCCTCCAAGGCGCCAACGTTGTCAACGTTGCCAACGTTGGGCCTCCTCCCTCCCCCTCCCTCGTCAGCCAGAGCACAGGGCTCAAGATGGGGCGGCCCCCCAAGGCAACAACGTCGTCAACGTTGTCAACGTAGGGCTTCCCTACCTCCCCTCTGCCAGCGAGGTCCCGGAGCTCCTGGAGCTCTAGGTCCGGAGCTCCCCGCGCTCCTTTTCAGGGACTGAGGCATGCTTGCGTTCGCCGTGGGACTGAGGCTTGCTTGCGTCAGACAGACGGTTCCCCGAAGGCAACATTGTTGTCAACGTTGTCAACGTTGTCAACGTTGGGCCTCCCTCCCTCTGCCAGCGTGTACATAGGAACCCAGGTGAGGCGGCCCCCCAAGGCGCCATCGTTGTCAACGTTGTCAACGTTGTCAACGTTGGGCCTCCTCCCTCCCTCTCCCTCGTCAGCCAGAGCACAGGGCTCAAGATGGCGCGGCACCCCAAGGCGCCAACGTCGTCGACGTTGTCAACGTTGGGCCTCCCTCCCTCTGCCAGCGAGATCCCAGAGCTCCCGGACAGGGAGGTCTGGGAACTCCTGGAGCTCCCAGAGTTCCTTTTCAGGGACTGAAGCTTGCTTGCGTCCATGTGTTGTTCAGCCTCACGCATCGGGACTGAGGTTTCCTTGCGTTCGCCGTCACGGCGTCGTCTTTTGAGGGACTGAGGCTTGCTTACGTCAGACAGACGGTCCCCCAAGGCGTCAACGTTGTCAACGTTGTCCCCCTGCCAGCGAGGACCCAGGGCTCCAGGTTGGGCGGCCCCCCAAGGCGCCAACGTTGTCAACATTGTCCACGTTGTCAACGTTCGCCCCCCCCCCCCTGCCAGCGAGGATCCAGGGCCCCAGGTGAGGCGCCCCCTCGGGGCGTCAACGTTGTCAACGTTGTCAACGTTGGGCATCCCTCCCGGCTTCTGCCTCGCGCGAAGACATATGCCTCCAATACGGGGTCCGAATAGATGGAACGGAGGATTGTGACGCATCGCCGTTGCATCGGCGAGACATCGGCGAGGCATCGGCGACGCCGGCGATGCATCTGCGAGGCCAGTGTGGAGGAAAGCGGGCTGCACATTAAGCCGCATCGGTGATACATCGGCAATGCGGAAGGATCCTCCAACCCCATCCGCTCGGATCCCATCTCGGAGGCCTGGAGAGAGGAGGAGGAGGAGGAGAAGGAGGAGGAGGAGGAGGAGGAGGAGGAGGAGGAGGAGGAGGGGAAGAGGAGGAGGAGGAGGAGGAGGAGGAGGAGGAGGAGAACCAGTGCAAACCAAAGAGTCATCAACGATGTTGGAATGAACCCTCCCTCCAAGCTCCCTCTTCATACGCCCCTACAACGGTTCATTTTCATTGAGGAACTGCCTCGTTGGAAGACACCCTTGAAGACCCTGAAGCATGCAAAAACATTGTCCTCGGGATTTCAACGCCGCGGATCAAGGAGGAGGAAGAGGAGGAGGGAGAGATTGGCGGTGCGCAGAGGGGGGTAGTGGGCGGGGGGAAGGCTTCTTGGGAGGGGGGGCTGCTTCTTAGAAGGCGCCGGCCTTGCATCTATAGAGGAGGCCCGCACCTTCTGAGACGCAGGGGTGCTTCTAAGAAGCCTTCCCCCCTCCCCCCATACAGTGGGGGCGTTGACCTAAGGAACGCTAAATAAGGAACGAGGCCCCTTTTTCCCATCAGTTAAAGTTTGATTTCCCATCGAAAACCTAAGGACAACCTAAGGCAAGCTGTGAAACAATCAAGGAACACCGAGCCCCTCCCCAACGAAAAGCGTTCCTTCTTCAAGGCCCCGACTGTACCTTCTCTGCGCGTGGCTGCAGGAGAGGTCCTCCCACACCACGCCCTCGGCCGTCGCCTCGGCGCGCCCGGCGGTGTGCAGCAGGTGCTCCGCGCAGCGGCACAGGGCCCGCAGCCGGCTCTGCGTCGGCCACGTCGCCCACAGGGCCTGCGGGCTGGCGGCGTCTGCCCCGCCGTCGTCGTCCTCGGCCTCCTCCGAACATGCTGGCGTCGTGGAAGGCTCGCCGCGGGCGGTTTTGGCAATCGTCGGGCGCTGGGGGCCGCCGCCAGGCCCAGGGCAGTCCAAACGAGAAGCCGGCCCCGGGAGAAAAAGGGTCGGGACTTCGGGGGGCCCTGCACTGAAAAGTGAACTTCTCTTATTCGGCGTTCCGACGTTGGACAGAGGGGGGGGTCTGGCTCCAGACCTCTGCTAAATGCGACTGTTTGCAGCAGTGCGTCCTATGGGGGAGACTCCACCTGCTCGAAACAGGTGTCAAAAACAGCCAAGATCTACTCCGCGGGGGCGGGGGAAGGGGAGGGTGCGAGGGCCAGAGCCGATCGGCAAAACAATATATCAGAAAACGACTACAAAGGCACATCGCGTGTTTGGGCATCCTGCTCCGCCATCGCTCTCCCTGATAGATAGCTCCTCCATGTCGTTCCACAAGGCGTGCCCTCGGGGCAAACCAGGCGTCTTGCTTGAGACCTCCGCACAACTTGCAGGGTGACTCTCATCCTCGTCGCGGCGATCTTCAAGGAGACCTACAGGATCACCGGGATCACCTACCAGAAACCCCACGTGACCTTCCAGACTCTCTTCAAGCAGAAGCCCCTCCACCCGCAGTGCAGGGAGGCCACCAGGCGCACAGCCCCGACATCGTTGTCCACCAGGGCCGCCCCCACGAGAGTCCGACGACTACCACTGGCGCTGCCAACAGGGCCACGAGACCCTTGCCGCAGCGAGACCACTCGCCACGGTTCGCTACGACCTTGCCGAGGTGTCCGACGACCGCGCGCGGCGCTGCTCAGTGTGGCCACCATGCCAGCACTCCAGCCAGGCTCCGTGTTGTCCCCCCTGGCAGTCCGCTGTGATCCTCCGCGTGAGTGGCCGCCGACTCCCGAGGATATCAGCCGCTCAACGCTCAATACCAACGGACCCCACGACGTCCGACGACCGTTCGCCTACCCACTTGCCGCCGACGACGGCCCGCCGACGCCAGACGACTGTCCGCCGAACCGAACGACGACTCGCGGCATAGTCCGCAGCGACCCTCCGCGCGAGCGTCCGCCAGCGCAGTCCACCGTGACCCCTCCGCCGAGCGTCCGATAAACCTCAACGGTGTTTCCGGCCAACAGGCCTGCACTCCAGCCAGTCCACGCGTGGGCGCGACGACCGGCACTTCGACAGACCAGTGCCTGACGGCCGACCGACGATGCCGACGCCGACTCTGAAGAACACCGCCACAGGGGTCACCAGGCTCAAACGGTAGGCAGTCACCCTTTGTAACCTGCGCCGGGAGGGAGTTCATCCCACCGCCCCTGTACCATATGCGGCGCCCCCTGCCTTGCGGGGAAGGCCTGCCAGGCACGTGCGGACTGGGGGCCTTGACGAGCTGTGGCCCGAATCGTTGCGATCTCTGGGCGCGGCCTCGGTCGCCCCTGGCGTTGCCTCGCTCCCCGCTCCCTCCGCTGCAGCGCGCTGGCGCGCCCGGCGCCCGACCCGGCTGCCCCGCCCCGCGCCCCGGCGCCCCCTCTCCGCCTCGGCGCGCTGCCCCCCCCGGCCGCTGCTGCCCGCTGCTGCCCCGCGAGGGGCCGGCCCTGCCTGTCCTCGCCTTCTCTTCTCCGTGCTCGCCGGCCACGTCTTTGCACGGCGCGGCGCTGCGCCCGCCCGTGGGCACCCGAGCAGTGTGATTGTGCCTGCTGCGTGCGTGCCGCACCGTGGCCCGTTGGCTCCAGCCGCTCTGGCTGGAGGGGAGCGCTGCCGCGGGGCCGGAGGTTGGCCCCGACCTCCGGCATGCCGGCGGGGGGGCGCTGGGAAGGGGCGCCCCGGCCTGGCCCCTGCCCCCTTCGGGTGCCATGGCGGGCGCCCCTGTCGGCGGCGCGGGGGACCCGCGGCGCCAGCGGCCACCGCGCGCGCCGCCGGCGCCGCAGCCGCCCCACGCAGTGGCCGCTGGGCCCGCCGACTGCTGCCCTACCACTGCTCGACGCGCGCGCGCGGACTCCGCGCGGCTTTGCCTCCCGTGGCCTCCCGTGGCTTCCCGTTGCCGTCCGTGGCGCCACGGACGGCACCAGGAATGGGAGGCGCCTCCCATTGCCTCCCGTGGCCTCCCATTGCCGTACCCACTCCTGCCCCTGTGTCCCCATCCCTGTCTATCCTACCCTATATCTCCATCCATACCCGCGAACACTCGACAAGTGCGTGTGTGGTATGTGTATGCGTGTGTGTGTGTGTGTGTGTTTGTGTGTGCTGGGCGCCCCCTCTTTCCTCCTCGTGCATCGTGACGCACTCCGCGTTTCGTACGACCTACCACCGCCCTATCCGCTAGCGCAGTGACTACGCCGAGCCGCCGACGCAAAAGTCTGTGTGTGTGCCGAAATTTCGAAGATTCGCCTGGTACCCGCCCGTTGACGCCTCGCGGGCGCCTCGTGTGCTGTGTGTGTCTGCCAGATTTCGCCGTGAAGCGTCTGGTGCACCGTGTGTGTGCCAAGGTTTCGCGTGGTGCCCGCCCGTTGGGACCTCGTAGGCGTCTCGCGGGCGCCTCGTGCGCTGGGCGGCCGCAAATTTATTGTTCCACATAGCCTACACCACATAGCTTACGCCGCACATGTTACACCACACGATTTGCACCACACATTTGCACCACATAGGTTCACCACACAGTCTACACCAAGTAACATACACCTCGTAGATTGCCCCACTTAGCTTACACCGCATAAAATATGTACCACTACGTGGCTTGAACCACGTGGTTTGCATCACTGACCCTGCGCCACATACGTAGCCTAAACCTCCACGGCGCAGTATCTTACTGCTTGCTTTCCACGCTTGCAGCAGAACGCCCCCCCAAAGGCCCCAGGAGGCCCCCAAAATAACGCAACGAGGGCCCCGAGATGCTTCCCAAAGGACCCCAAGTAGCCTCCCAAACATGCGTCTTGTCCACGATCAAATTTGGCCCCAAAATACCCCGAGAAGCGATCGAGAGGACCCCTCCTCCTCCTCCCTTTCCTCCTCCCCTCCTCCTCCTCAACCTACTCCTCCTCCTCTACCTTCCCGCTCGCCACGAGCATTCGTGACGATTCTGACCCCCAACACGCGATCTTCAATGCGCCCAAGGTGGGTCCCAGATGACCAAGGTGGCTTCCAAGACGAAGCTGGGAGGCCACCGCAGCCGCCAAGATGGCCGAAGTTGCCTTCAAGACAGCCGAAGAGGCCCCAAAGAAGGACGGCGCGTTTCCCGGGCTCTTGCCTTGATAACATTCGGCGGCGCGTTTCGACAAGGGGGGCGGGCCCCCCCCCAACACTCGGCGTCGTCGATCAAAACCAAGGGGAACCCCTCTCCTCCCCCACACCCCGTCCCTACCGAACCCCACCCCCTCTCCCCTCCCAAAGGAGGGGACGGGGGGGTTCAAAACCCCCCCACCCCCCGGCGCCGGCGCCAGCGCTGGCGGCCGCCAGCAGCGCCGATCGCGGGGACGCAGCGACGATTACCAGAGGCAGCCCAAAAGGGGGGGGTTCAAACCCCCGCCCTGGCGCCGGCGCCGACGCTGGCGGCGGCAAGCAGCGCCGTCGCAGTTGCCGGCGACGACGGGGACGCAGCGACGACTACCACCACTACCACCACCGCCGCCACTACCACCACCACCACCGCCTCAACCCACCACCACCACCACCACCAACCCACCACACAACCACCACCACCACCACCGCCCCACCACCACAACCACCACCACAACTCACCAACACCACCAACACCACCACCACCACCACAAAACCCATCACCACTACCACCACCACCACAATCTACCACACCACCACCACCGCCACAACCACCACCACTACCAGCAGCACAACCCACCGCCACCACCACAAACCACCAGACCACCACCACCGCCACCACCACCACCACCGCCAGCACCTCCACCAACCACTGCCACCACCACAACTCACCACCACCAACAACACAAACCACCACCACACCAACACCACACCACAACAACCACCACCACCACCACCAACACAACTCACCATCACCACCACCGCCACAAAAACCCACCACCACTACCACCACCACCAACAATCTACCACACCACCACCACCACCGCCACAACCACCACCACTACCAGCAGCACAACCCACCGCCACCACCACAAACCACCACACCACCACCACCACCGCCACTACCAGCACCAGCACCACTTCCACAAACCACTGCCACCACCACAACCCACCATCACCACCACCACCACAACCACCACAAACCACCACCACACCACCACCAAACCACCACCACCACAACCCAGTACCACCACCACCACCACCACAAACCACCACCACACCACCACCAAACCACCACCAGCACAACCCACCACCACAACCACCACCACCACCACAACAAACCACCACACCACCACGACCAAAACCACCACCACTGCCACCACCACCACCACCACAACCCACCACCATAACCACCACCGTCGTCCTCGTCGGCACTCCACGCCGCCGCCGCCCGCCGCCGCAAGCGCCGGCGCCGGCCCAGAAAAGGAAATCGTCGTCCCCGCCGCCGCCACCAGCCGCCGCCGACGCAAGCGCCGGCCCGAGGAGAGGGGAAGCAAGGGAGGAAAGGGAGGGGGGGGGTCCGGATTCACCCCCCCCCCCCGCCAAGCGACCACAGAACGCGCTCTTTCCCAAAAAGCCCCAAGAGCGTTCTAAGAGATCTCCTAAGAAGGCCCTCAGAGACACAAACTTTTGTGATCGCGATCGTGTTCTCAATGTTTTTCACGCTATCGCCTTTTCGAGCATCCGAAGCTCCAAGACGGCCCCAGGGACCTCCAAGACCGCCCCAAGACGGCCCAAGAGGCCCCCAAGAAAAATCGAAGACATCCCGAGACGGCCCCGAAACGGCCCAAGAGGCGCTCAACACAGCCCAACAGAGTTCCAAAACAGTCCAAAGACGGGCCCAAGAGGGGGAACACGAACCGACAATTCGAGCCTTGAGACCGAAGTGGCCCCTAGGAAACCCCCAAGGACTTCCAAGGCGCGCACTAAGGACCGGCGGAACAAGCGAAGCGATTAAATACTTTACTGCTTGGGATCCGCGCTTGCAGACATTCCATGTCAATCATGTTGAACTTGTGCAACGCCACGCTGGTGGAGAGAAGATCCTTTTCCAAACCGGAGCTCTCGCTGGGCAGCACCTTGAGCGTCAACTTTTTTGACACAGCAGGATCTCGCCTGAAGGGCAGGCCCACGGGACGTGCGTCTGTCTAAGGGGGGGGGCGCGCTCCCGCAGTGGATACGAATACTTCCACGAACTTGTGAGGAGGGGACTTGGGACAGAGGGGCGTGCTTACTGAAGCATCGTTGATGCATCCTGGGTTCACCCTGGTCCGCCTGCTCCACCTCCTGCCCCTTTATCCTCCTCCCCCTCACTCATCCTTACAATCCTCGCTGCCCTTCTCCGCCTCACCCTCCTCTTGGTCCTTTTCCTCGTCCTCGCTCGGATCCCCCCCCGGCCGCCAGCATCCTCCTCCCTTCCCCGCCTGCCCTTCCCCCCGTTCGTGCTCCCCCTCCAGCTTGTGCTCCCGCCCTCTCCTCCTCCTGCTCCCCCCCCCCCCTCAAAGAGGATGAAGGGACACCCCTGCTCTGCTGAGGAGGAGGAGGGAGCAGGAGGAACAGCTGGGGGACTGACAGGAGGACGTGGAGGAGGAAGAGGACCTTCTCCTCCAAGTCCTCCTGCTACAGTCGAGAAGGACTGGAGAGGACATGTGAAAGGATACGAGACCCCTCCGAGGGGCACATTTCCGCAGGAATGTAGAAGCCATGGGACGCTAAACAGTGGACATGATGGTACCCTTGATCTGGAATCAAGCTCGAACGCGCTGCTCTCCCCCACCCTTCTCATCCTCGGCTTCCTCGTCTTCACCGAGGGGCCTCAAGGCTTCCCTGGAGCGAGGTCTCGAGCGTGACCTTGCGCGGGCGAACGGGATGAGCCGCAGGGAGGACAGCACAGGCGCCTGTGTGAGCCCCAGGTCCCAAAGGAGCTTGGGACGCTGGTGAGGATGCAAATCCAACTGGCCTAACTACTCAATGCCCAGGTGGTCGCCCAGCTCAGCGCACATCTGTCTGTCCCGTGTTCCGCATGAAGGACGAAAGAACACGGCCGCAAACGACGAACAACTTGATGCGTATCCAACCCCAACCACTTTTCCTACCAGCGGCGCGACTCGGACACAAGGTCTTCAACTGAGCCACCAGAACATGTTTGCCAACGTGAACTCCACACACAGGCTTCGTGCACTCTGGATGTGCAAGCCGCGTGGTCCCAACTACACGCTGCAGGCTATGTGGTATGCTTCGTGGTGCAAACAATGTAGTACAAGCTATGTAGTGCAAGCTATGCCGCGCCTGCTAGGCGTTGCACCAACTATGCAGTGTAAGCAATGTGCTACAAGCTCTGTAGTGCCAGTTGTGTGGGGCATGCTATGCAGCGAAAGCTACGTGTTACGTGGTGAAAGCTATGTTATGCAAGCTCTTTGGTGAAAGCTGTGAGGGGCAAACCTGGTTGCGCAAGCCATGTGGTGCAAACTGTAACATGCAATGGTGTAGTGCTGCCTGCGCGTGGTGCAAACTGTGGTGCAAGCATTCGAGGCGCCCAGGTGCGGGCACGCGGCGAAACATCGACACGCCCTGCCAGCGCACAGGGCGCCCACGAGGCGCCCACGAACACGTGGCTAAACCCCGAACCACCAAGCCAATTCACGGGGCGCCCACGAGGCCCCCACCGACGGCGACGTGCCGCAACCCCACCACACACCCAACCAATCACGTAGAGACGCAGACAATGACCCCTAGGTGCAAGCATTGACCGTGACATTCTGGCGCGCGCCTGCAGTTTAGCGCGAGAGCAGGGGTTCCAAATGTGAATGTTGCGACGGTGCGGAGCCGAGGGGGAGGAGGGAAGGAAGAGGAACGAGTAAACAAGGTGGAGAGTGGAAGCGCGGAAGAAGGGCGAGCTGGGAGGAGGGGAATGGATGACGACGGAAGAGAAATGAGGAAGTGGTGAGGCAGGATGAAAGAACAGGAGGATCAGCAAGGAGAGGAGGAGCGAGGAGGGCAGAACGAAGGACGGGGGCTCGAGCGGGGAGCAGGGGGAGGACGGAGGAGGGGAGGAAGTCCAGTGAACGGCGGGACTGCGGGCGCACTGGCTTCACGATCTGCGGAGCTTGTTATTGCACAAATGGCGATGCACTCTATCACTCTCGCATTCCTCCGGCGCTGGCGTAGAGAAAGAGGGATCTCTGTGCACCAGCGTCACCGTGCCATTCTGTGTGTCCTCTGGACTGCGGCTGGCGCCGGGGGAGAAATTCGTTATTTTTCACGCGCTCGCTCTCTCTCAGGCCACGGCTCACCTCATGAATTTGCCTGTCGTAGGTCGGCTCGTGGGTTGCACCAAGCTTGCCTGGCGATTCTTTGAATCGCATGGCAGTTGAGGGTACGCAGATCTCTTCCTAATACTGTAACAAGACAAGGACATTGCTTCCGTGGCCCGCGCATTCAAAGCTCAACAGTTGAGCTCTGTCACGAAAATTGCGCCCGAATGAATGACACGAAAAAGTTAAGCCGAAGTCGTGGTGCGCGCTTGGCGATCGACTGGGCTGCGGGTACTGGCGACAGCAAGGCCGCTTTCTCATTCCAGTGCCAGTGCTACAAACTGGCCCAACCATGATCGGCATGAAGCAACGCAGCTGGGAAGAACCACTGCTCGGATCAGTCACCGAGCGAGCCTGCAGGCAGGAAGGAGCCATGGAGCCCATATGGAAGCCTGACGGGCAGCCACATGCGGCAAACTGGACCACGCTCCATGTCGTCCCCGTCAAAGACACACAGGCAGGTCGCGTTCCTAGAGGCCTCCTACATGGGGTCGGAGTAGATGGGGTCGAAGGATCGCACCGAATCGCCCATACATCGGCGATGCATCGGCGATGCACCGGCAATGCGTCGTCGACGTCGGCGGTGCATCGGCGACGCCGGCGTGAAGCAAATCGGGCCCCGCATCGAGCCGCATCGCCGATGCATCGGCGATGCGGCGCGATCCTCCGACCCCACCTACTCGGACCCCATCGAGGAGGCCTAGAGTTCCTCCTGTGGTCGTCCATCACCCCCAGCATCCACGCGCCTGTGCCCGCGGCCTTGGGCACCACCACGGGCTCCTGGGCGAAGCAGCCGCCCCTGCGCGGGGCCTGCCACACGGACAAGCCCCCCGACCTGAGGTCGAGGCGGGCCCAGCCCGTGGCCGGGGAGGACAGCCCGTCGCAGTTCGAATACGTCATGTAGGCGTATGAGGCGCCAGCGCCGCCCTCCTCTGCAGGAAGCACGTGCGGGTGGTCCATGCAGACGGCCTCCAGGCCCGGGAACACGGCGTGCTCCAGCAGGCGGGCGCCGGAGCCCGTGACCTCAATCCTCGTGCGCCAGTAGTGCGTGGGGGAGATCGCGTCGAAGTCTGGCGCTCGTCCGACCCACGCCGCGAGGAAGCGGCCGCCGTTCCGCGCGAGGCCCTCGCGCTTCCACCCCGCGGAATACAGCGTCACCAGCCTCGCCGTGCCGTCCGTCGAGACCTCCTCCTCCGCGTGCGAGTGATGGATGGAGAACCACGGCGGTGTCTCCACGACCAGGTGGCGCGGCCCGCCCGCCTCGTCCCGCGCGCCGTCGCGCGCGACGAGGTGGATCCTGCTCGGCGCGTCTGGATCGGCCTGGATGCCCTCGGCGGGGCCAGCCAGGCCGAGCAGGTACTTCGCCAGACCCTCGGGGGGGAGCTCCATCCTGTTCTCGGCGAAGACGTAGAAGCTGTTGGTGAACGCGCAGTCGTGGGGCGCAGTGCCCGCTCTCGTGCGGAAGGCGACCCGCGCCCGCGCCCGCCACTGCTCGTCCCGCTCGGTCACGGCGAACTCGACGACGCCGTCCAGAGGATTGTTCTTAGTAGACCATATGATGAGGCGCCTCTGCCGCTGGTCGATGTGGGGGTGCGCCGTCACAGCGTCCCCGAATCCCAGCACCGAATCCAGAGGCTCGAACCCTAGAGTAGCAGCTGTGCCTTCTCGAAGTTCCTCGCCGAAGGTCTCCGGTCCGAGGGTCGCCAGGTCACTCCCATCTAGACGGTAGGGGAGACCAGTCTCATAGAGCGCGAGCATCTTCCCACCCCAGCAAACAACATGCGTATTGGCAACGTTCTTGATCTTTGTGTCCATTACGTTCTGCAGGGAACCCGCCGACCCACTCAGCGTTCGTGACTGGCTCGTCGGCGCAACGCCACCTCATCCCGAACTGAAGTACGCCAACTTCAGTTGAACCGTCGTCGTCGTAATCGAGATCGAACAAAGAAGGGGGATCGAACACGTCGAAGGGGAACTGCTTCCCTTTGTCCTTTCCCCCCCTGGGGGGGGGTCCTGGGGAGAGGGGGGCGGGGGTGGTCCGGCAGACGGCTCTCCTCCTCCTCCTCCTCCTCCTCCTCCTCCTCATTTGCCTCCTCCTCCTCCTGCTCCTGCTCCTCTTAATCCTCCTGCTCCTGCTCCTGCTCCTGCTCCTAGTCCTGCTCCTGCTCCTGGTCATGCTCCTGCTCCTGCTCCTGCTCCTCCTCCTCCTCCTACTCCTCCTCCTCCTCGTCCTTTCAAGTGATAGGCCGTCGCGTATCTGGTCTTTGAGGTTTTCCGCATCGTAGACTCGAGAGCTCTGTAAAAGGCAGATGGGAGCAGGCAGCAGCAGGAGACATGTTGGCAGAAGCGTGCTTGCTGGTGCATGTCAACGCCCGTCCTCGATTCTGTGGCTTCGTTATGACAAAGTGGCGCGGGGCGCCGCAATAGATGGCCGGAAGGGCTTAACACGTAATCCGCCTGCTGCTATGCGATTATCCACCCTGTCGGTGTTGCTCTGAGCATCGCAGGCCCGACGCACATCCGCACGCCTGTGGCGCGCCGTCCTGATGGCCTCCTGAAGCGAGGCCGCCTCAGCGGAGACCTTCACGCTCACGCGCCCACCTTTCCCTGCCATGGTCAGGTCACCCCTCCCCGCTTCCAACTTCGTCAAAACGTCCGTCAAGTGCACGGGCGTATCGCACCACTCCTGGTCAACTCCGTCCTGGGAAGCATCTCTCGTGGGGCTGCGATGATGACTCGACTTCGACGATCTGCAATCTGGCGGGCACCCGCGAGTAGATGGGTCCCCAGGCTATTCGCCTCACTGTTCCACTTGGTGGGGGTCAGAATCGCCGCGTCGTCAATCAAGTCGCCAAGCGCCTGGCATGACTTGACCACCACGTAGTAGAAGGCTCGGATCCACTTCAATGTTCCAGCTCCTTCAGTGAGTCTGCGGGATCAGCTCCCACTGAGGCTCTACAAGATGTCTTGACCACTGAATTGCCCCAGTCCAAGAAGTGAGCCGGTCCTTCGCCGCACTTGCGTAAAGGCCTTCGTCTGAGACCTCGCACGCGCGAAACCGAGCTGGGACTTCACCTTCTCGCCGAGTGGGCGTAGGATCAGGTCGTCGACGTTGTTGAGACTGTTGTCCGCAAACACGATAGCACGTTGGTCTCATCATGTTTAAGCGCATCGCCTCCGAAGTAAAGGCGCGCGCCGCGCGTCTCTTTGCAATAGCTCAACAGCGTGCTCACCTACAGTAGGTGCTGTGCCGTGTCCTGGTCCTTCTGCTGTGCCAGGGAGCCATCGCCGAACGAGACGTCCGCCTGGAGCTGCCTCGAAAGCCATCCGAGCAGGCCGATCACCGACTCTGCGAAACTCCTCTCTTTATGCGTATTCAATGCCTTGGCATGCTTCGACGGGCCTGGGACACCGTCGAACTCTCCGCCGCGTCCATGTAGTTGGTCATGCTGATCTCGATCATTGGTCGATCAGTTCGAGGCCTGCTCCGCGTCCTTGCCGCAGCGCCAGGACGAGGGCTTCTCCTCCGTAAGTAGCGACACGCGCTTGAGCTCGTCCATCGCGGTCGTGAACAGGTCGGCGCTCGGATAGTTGGTCGCGAAAAAATCGCCCGCGCATGTCCCGACCAAGCCGGTGACCTTGCTACCTCCGCAGAGGAAGGAGGAGGCTCGCTCCACGGGGCGGTCCAGCAACGCGCTGCTGCGCGGAGTCCACCGAAGCTCGCTCCACCACTTCCTTCCAGCCTAATTCGCGCCGTTGATCGCGCCGCGGCATGCGACTTCTGGACCAGTGGACACCCCGGGCGGTAGCGGACGCAGCACGAGCATCCGATCGACACCGTCTCCCTGTGAGAGGCACTCGTCGCGTCGAGCTCCAATGGCGGCCGGCGTTTCCTGGCCGCAAGGCGGCAGATCAAGTGGAACACCAACGAAGGCGATGTAGGAGAGTCCGTCCCGACGGGGACAGACTCGTAGCTGCCGACCGCAACTGGCCGAGACCTCGCCTTCATGGGCAACTTCGGGTCGTGCTTGTACTTGTTGGTGTGGATCCATCTTGATGGGGGTCGCTTTGACCCGGCCCGAGAGCTCCTTGACCGCGTCGCCCGCGGCAGCGGTCACGGCCCGGAAATTGCGCGAGTTCTTCCGTTCCTTCGCCATGCTCGCGTCGAACAGTGGCCTCTCCGCCTCGATGAGATCGGCGAGCGCGAGCTCCTTCCCTCGGGAATTCCCGACCTGCCATGCGTAGCAGATCCAGGCGTGGCACGACGCGTCCGAACCATGGCCATGGGATCGCCCCGATCTCGCTGCCGCCGGAGCGGCGCCCCCTCGAGCCCAGAGGCCAGGAAATCAGGCCTGGACGTTGAGCTTCTCCGCCTCGCCACCGCGAAGGACCGACCCGGGCACGCGCAGACCGCGTGTCCCGAGCATCCAGTTCGCTGCGGCGTGATCTGGGTGTCCTACTCCATTCGGTGGATCGCATCCTTCTAGATCCTCCAAGTCGCCCGATCCTGCCTAAATGCTCGTGGGCCCCCAACGCAGAATTCTCGATCCCGACGCCATTCTCGAACGCGTGGTTCAGGAGCTCCTCCGAGAACACCTTGCCGCGGTCTACGATGATCGACTGCGGTAGTCCTGCCCAGCTGCACCAGGCCGCGAGGAACGTGTCAGATGCGACCTCAGCCAAGGGCGCGCGGGTGCCGCTGCGCAGGCACCAGAGCACCAGGAACCGCGCCTCGTCGCACACTACGTTGAGAAACGCGCGCGCGCGCCGCCCGCCGCGCCACGGGCGAACAGGGCATCGAGCATCACGGGGAAAGCGAACTGGTAGCATCCTGGCATTCTCTCCGGGCGGAAATGCTTCGTCAGAGCTGTCGCCGCCAGCGTCGCGCCTGAAGTTCCAAACGGCGTCCAGGACTTCCTTCTTGGAGCCTGGCCCCCTCAGGCACCTGGCCAACGTCGCTTCGGTAAGGTGGCCAAAGTTCACGTGCAGGTTGCGGACTTCCCGCCTGGTGGCGGGGTCGTAGCTCAGCCACCTTTCGCGTCTCTCCTTCTCCCTGCCGCCCTTGCGGCCAACTTGTATGGCATCTTTAGATCGTACTCGAAGAGGTGCTGTTGGATGAGCGATCGCACGGAGTGGCAAGCTACAACTGGGAATCCGTCCTGGAGATGGTCGGCGTTGCTATCCGTTTTTCTTCGCCCGCGCGCCCGTAGAAGCCGTCACGAGCGCGCTCTTGGCATTCTTCGAAGAGTGCAGGGTCCCCGTACCGCAGCGGGATGTCACTCTCAAGCTCCACCCTGGAAATACTCGCCATCGCGATGATGATACACGCGGCGATGAGCCGCTGCCGGAAGACATGCCACATCATGCCACTCGCAGTGGTTCAGCTGCGGCACGCCTCGCTGTCCACGAGGCTGCTGGTGTCGCCGAACCCCGCCTAGGCAATCTAGCTTGTGCGGGTCTGCCACTTCCCGCGCCGTGGATGCCGGCCCGCTCCCTGCAGGCTGGGGCGCAGCCCCCGCCACGGAGCGCGCTGAGCAGACCTCCGCGCACGGTGATGCGGAGGCGGGAGCTGGCCGGGGCAAGGGGGGCCAGCTCCGTTGCCATCCAGTGACAGGCCGCCACCTGTCGGGTCTTTCAAATTTTCCGCACCGTAGAATCAAGAGCTCCGTGAAACGAAATATCCTGGTTGAGCGGGCGAGAGCAGGCAGCGACAATACACAGGCTAAGCGAGGGATGATCGCTGGTGCATTTCAACATCCTCGTCCTCTTTTTTCTCCTCCTTTTCTTCTTCTTCGTATTCATCTTCTTTTTTCTCTTCTTCTTCTTCTTCCTCTTCCTCCTGCTCTTCCTCCTCCTCCTCCTCCTCATCCTCCTCCTTCTCCTCCCCATCACCACAATTACATACTATGAATACTACTCGCCTCTCCCCTGATGACGTCCGGGAAATGTCCACCCCCCCTCCACGTATTGTTTTTAGACACCGGATTCCCTGGAACAGGGTTGTCGCTTGGATTTCGTTTCAAAGCGATGCTCCCGCTGAATCGCTGGCTTCCTTTTCGGGCTTCCGCTCGTTCGGAATCGTGCTCCCGCTGCAACGCTGGACTCATTTCCGCGCTTCCGCTAGTTCCGAATCGTGCTCCCGCTGCAGCGATGGCGTCATTATTTCGAGCGTCATGCCACAGCATGGTGTTCGGTCCTTCCAAATAGGCACCAAAATCTAAAAAATGCCTCCCGAAAAAACCATCGGAAGTGATTACACATTCGGTGTCGATTCGTTGATGTTTGGGGCGATGTTTTGGGCGTCGCCCCACTATTGGGCGTCGCCACGCCCTGCTATGTCATGCTACGCGTTGATGTTCAGCGCCATGCTATTCCATGTAATGCTACGGAATGCTTCGACATCAGACTGTGCGAATAGAGAGGAGATCCACGCCGGGGTAAGGGATGGGAGGGAGGGGTAGGACATCAGATATGACGCGAGCGCACCTAGCTTGCCCCTTTCCCCTCCTCCTCCTGGCCTCTTTCTCCGCCTCCTCCTCCTCCTCCTCCTCCTTTTCCTCCTCCTCGTCCTCCTCCTTTTCCGCCTCTCTCTCCGCCTCCTCCCTCCTTTGCCTGCCCCATGTTCCGAGCCTGTGACAGGGTCATCAGCTCGTCGTTGTGATTGTCACCGTGGCTGTCGTCGTCGCCGTCGTCGTCCTTCTGGGTCGGCGGCACCGGCCGGAAGGCCTCCACAATACATTCCCTGTCTCTGGGTGCCAAAAGAGGACCTGGCGCAGACTCGATCCTGGCCCTCCTCCTCCACGAATGAATCGGTC